TAGAGAATCTTAATAATGGCCCAGTATTCTACCAGCTACTCAAGTCAGTTCAACAAATTGTGTTCATCCTGTCACTAAATTACAACTCAAATATGTCCACTTTTCTCAGATGAACTGGTACCACCCTAGATTAAATTCCATCATCTTTCACCCAGTTTACTGCAAAGACTGACAACCCATCTTGCCCTCCCTAATCTCTTTACCCCATTGATACCCCACCCATGACAGCCATAGTAATCTTACTAAAGCATATGTTTCCCAACTGGTCTTTCAGCTTCATTGGTTTCCTTTTGCACTTTAAATGGGATTCAAACTCCTTAACTTGACCCAGAGATGCCTTTCAACTTCGTAACTCTCAGCTCCTATTAGTCAACCCTGCACATTGTATGCTTGTCAGAGCAAGTTTCTTTTAGTGCCCTGACCCCTACCTGAGCCCTCATCCTCATGACTTTAAGCACTCACACCACTTCCCCACTTCCACCTTTTCCATTCCCATTGTTGACTTCCGCTTCCTCTTACTGCAGTCTCCAATTGTATAAAGTGACAACATTCCATCGTGTTCCTCTGTAAAACTTACCCTATTTCGTTTTGAACCTCTCAGAATTGTAATAATTCATTAACTTGCTTAATATGTTTCTTCCCTGCTAGTTGATCATCTCTATGTAGGCAGGACTTATATTTCATTCGGTTGCAGCCACAAAATCTTATGCAGACCCTCTAACATAGAGATTTTCCAATAAATGAATGAGCATGCTTACTACTTTCCTATAATCTTCTTTGTCTTCTTCCTGACTTTGTGTCCATTTAGTTTTGACTCTAAGCTTCATTAAGAGAGCACTAAATTCCTGATTTTTAGAATGATCGATCAAAAAATAAAACAGGAAACAGGGAAATGAGCTGACCTACAAAGGATAGGCATGCATCCATAGAAAAAGATCGATGTGGAAGACATTCCAGGAAGGAAAAATATGAACAAAGACAAAGAGAGGAGAATCTGGGAATCTTCTAGAGATGTAGAAATGAACACCTCATTTGAGGTGCAGGTGCTAGAAAGTAGTGGGCATCAGGTTGATGATAAGATAAGACTATCATCAGGAGAGGTGTGCATATCAGGAGGAGATGGTGAAATGTTTTTGGTGCAATGTCTTTGTATTGCCTTATTCAAATAGTGCCTCTTCTCTCCTTTTCATCACAGTTGCCGATGGGAATGGACAGGATGGCGAGTGCTCCCTTGGCTACTTCCCCTGTGGAAATATCACAAAGTGCTTGCCTCAGTTTCTTCACTGTAACAATGTGGACGACTGTGGGAATGGGGCTGATGAGGAGAACTGCGGTGAGTGAAGCCGCCTTTAGATACAGTGAGAACCAAAATGGGCTTGAGGAACCAAAAAGGAGTGATGGGGAAATCATTCCAATTCCTCTAACAGAGAGAGAAATGGGAAAAGAGCAAACCAAATTGAAATGCAAAAGATAGGGTGTTTAATTACATGTATTTCATTAGTCTAAACTATTCATTGTTTTCTATGTCATAGTATCACAACCAGGATGTCAAGAAAGTAGCTTTCATGTGTCCAGTAATTTTAGCCAAGCAAATCTGCCCAGTGTGTACCTTAGTGGCAGAACAGGGTGGAAATTAAAAATGTGGATGATAGAACCAGATTTCCATAGGCTAAACCAGGATTCAACAATAACCAATTATGCAAACTTGGGAACATGTATTGACCCCTTTATTCCTGTTTCTTGTTTGTAAAAAGGTTTAATAATTATATCTTCATTATGAGGATTTGTGAAGATTTAATATTAAAAATTAGAACAAGATCAGATATTTGGAAAACGCTATGTGTGTTGTTGTTATTGTTATTACTGCTGTTGCTGCTGTTGTTATTGTTGGGTTCCATCACGTCTTTCCAATTGATAGAGAACCTGAATACAGCAGAGCCATTCGCTGCCCAGTCTTGCACCATTCTCACGGCTCTCCCTATGTTTGAACCCACTGTTGCAGCCACTGCGTCAGTCAAGCTCATTGAGGGTCTTGTTCTTTTTCTCTGACTTTTACCAAGCATGATGTCCTTCTCAAGGACTGGGCCTTTCTGATAGCATGTCCAAAGTGTTTGACATAAACCAAGACTTGGCATCCTATTTCTAAGAAGCATTCTGGTTGTATTTCGTCCAACACGGTTTTGCTCATTCTTGCAAATTGATGGAGTATTTAATATTCTTCATCAATGTTTTCTTACAAACATTACTTCTAAGGGTCTCTACATATATAGGTATCTGTTGAACAATGTAAATATTCCTAAGAGCAGCATAAAGAACTCTGATGGAGAAGTAGGTTGTGAATCGAGCTCTTAAGCATAGGTCTCCAGTTCAAACCCACTAGCTGCTCTGTGGGGAAAAGATGAACCTATCTCCCCCTGTGTGTTAGACAGGGTTCTCTAGAGAGATAAAACCAAATTCCTGATAATTCAATATATTTATTTATAAAGATAATTAGATATATAACAAGGAATGAGCTGTTAAATCATATACAGATAAATATATAATACAAGAAAGAAACAGTTAAATTATAAAGCACTATAAATGGCTCAATGCAACTCACGCCCGTGACAGAGTTGAGAGACTAGCAGTCCTTCAAGTCTAGTCTGCTGCCAGATCTTCCTCTATTTATAGAACGAGCTAGGTTATGTCAGCACAGCAGCCAATCAGAAGACAGGTCACCAACTGTCAGCCAGGTTACCAACTGCCAGTCCCCAGCTCCAGCGATCTCTTAAAGGGACCTCAACTTACAGCGACACAGTCCACAGGCTAGGCGTCCCACAGGTAGTGTAGCCTTTAAATTGAGGCAAAGAACAAGCAAGGCAGCCGCACACTGGTCCGATGATCAAAGAGCGAGAGACAAGAAAGGCGAGACTCACCAAGCCATTTATCTCTCTGCCCTTCAGTTAATCCCACTTGTGTTTATCGGCCAGGCTGGCACAATAAACTCTCTCACCCTGTAAAGATGTTTCGCCTGAGAAGCCCTAAGAAGCAGTTCTACTCTGTCCTATATGTTCATCGTAAGTTGGAATCGACTCAATGGCAGCCACTTTTTTTTAATATATGAATTTCTGTATGTGCTTGCATATGCGTATATATTTGTGCCTGTATATCCAACATATGCTGTCTCAACCACTGGGGTTAAGGATTCCAAAGTAGTGGTTTGTGAGGGTGAGTCAAAAAATATTGCTTCCTCATGACTCGAATTCTATCTTGCAAGTCTGGCTAGACCAGAGGAGGTACACTGGTACAGATAGGAACTGAAAATACAGGGAATCCAGGACGGATGAGCCCTATAGGACCAGTGGTGTGAGTGGCAAAACAGGGAGGGTAGAGGGAGAATGGGTAGGAAAGAAGGAACCGATTACATGGAACTGTGTGTGACCTCCTCCCTGGGGGACAGACAACCGAAAAGTGGGTGAAGGGAGACGTCGGACAGGGCAAGATATGACAAAATACCCATTTATAAACTATCAAGGGCTCATGTGGGAGGGGGGAGTGGGGAGGGAGGGGAAAATGAGGACCTAATGTCGGGGGTTTAAATGGAGAGAAAATGTTTTGAGAAACGATGTACAAATGCGCTTTACACAATTGATGTGTGTATGGATTGGGATAACAGTTGTATGAGCCCCTAATAAAATGTTAAAAAAGAAAAAATATATATAAATTTAAAAATTGCATTGAGAAAAAAATATATATATATTGCTTCCGGGGCCCCAATACACGCATGGGTTTACTCCAAACAAAACATGTTATCACTGGATGGTTGCAGACAATTTCTCTCAGTTTCCCCATATTTCCAGAAACTATTGCTGTAACTTATTTGTTGTTTTCTTGTTAGGGACCAGTCAGTCAGTTCTGACTCATAGTGAGCCTAAGTAGAACAGAGTGAAACACTGCATAGTCTAGGCCATCCTCATTGTCACTAATTATCTAGGGAAATGAAATATACAACGTTCTACATTTGGCCCCTCATGATGCTAAATCCTAGTGAATTTTAACGGAATGTAATATAAAAACAGGAAAAACATAAAAGTCCCTTTCTTGTTACTTAAATTTTTAGTCTGACAAAAACTTGGGTTCACTTCTTGTTAAAGCAAACAGTACATGAGAACGAGTGTCCGTTTAGAAATGTGTCTGAGTTTATCTGAAAGGCTACCCTCTTTTGCCAAAAGTTTCACTTTCTGCTTGACTTTCTCTACCTCACGATGTTTTCCACTCTCGTGATCTGGGCTTGTTCTTGCTTCTGTGTCATCATCATTTGTACGTACCTCTCACTCGCATTCTGCCCCTTCGTCTGTGTCCCATCTTCCTTTGACTCTGTCTCAACTTCCTTATCGCATGCTTACCTACTCCCCTATTTATTTTCCCTTTGAAACCAAGTCACCAGAATATTCCTAAATTATAATTCCATTCCCATTTCATTAATCTTGTACATTGGTGTTTATAACCATTTAAGTATCTGTACACAAAAAGAAGCAAAACCTGAGACAATACTCTTGATTTTTATGTGGCATGAGCGCTGCTCTCGCAATTACGTGGCCCAAGCATCCCAAAATAATGGTTTAAAAAGGTGAGTTTAAAAATTACTACTAGTCGGGCTCCGTGGGCTTATTCCAAGCAACAATATGTTTGAGCATGTCCCTGTAGTCACTTGATGGTTTTGTTAGATCTCTCATGGGAGAGATATACTTGGGTCTTGGCTTCACGAGACAAAGAATTCACTCCAAAGCCTATACAATATTGTGATCCAAGTGGGTTTATGGAGAATAGTAGCAGTTTCAGGTTGTACAGTCAATGGAACACAAGCCAGACAGAGTCCGCGGCACCGTTGCAGGACTGCAGCCCGGCTGTGCTACATCCTGTAGCAGCCCCTGGGAAAGAGAGAGCCCCTGGGCAAAACCTCTGGCCTTTTCAGGACCCGTTGGGAGGTGTGGTCGGCAATACTGGTCAACCCCATTGGCTGAATTGAAGTCACCTGGCCCAGATGGGCCAATCAGGTGCAGCGCCCACCTAGGTGGACCACCCTTTCTTGGCTGGAAGCTCAAACCTCTGAGCATGCATGATGGACGCCCCAGTCCCGATGCTAAGCTACCTAACACTTTCAGACAACTTCTCTCAGGAATGTACTTGTCTTCGTCTCATTACGGTGTCTTCAAAAGAAAAATCCACTCAAAACAGTGACTTCCTCGGGGATCTGCTATGCCAGTTAAATCCAAGGCAGAGGAGGAGGTCAGAGCAAAAAGGGATAGCATTTTTTAAAAATTAGAAAAGGGTAATCTTGGTAGATTTCTCAAAGGACACAGGACCATCCCAAGGGCTTATCATGAAGTTTTTAAGAAAGTTGAAACCTACATTAATGAGAAAAAAATTCAGGAAACTTTTTTCCCCCCATCACAACAGTGCACCTGCTCATTCTTGAAATGTAGTCATGGCGGTCCCATGAGAGTTTCCGTGGGAACCTAGAATCCTCACCAACCTAGAATCCCTGATCTTATCCCTTCGTGCTTCCTTTTCTTCCCCAAGCTCTAAGTTCATCGAAAAGCAATAGGATATGAATTGCTCAAAGATGTGAAATCATTCAATGCAATGTAATTCGAAGAGCACAAAATTCTATAGGGAGAGGTTAGAAAGATGGAAATACTGCTTTCAGAAGTGCATAGACCTAGATGGAAGTTATGTTCAGAAACAACATCTTTACATTTGGTAGTTTTTATTAATAATGTTCTCTGTTATTGATAGCAATACATTTTTACTTGCCCTTGTATACTTTACAGACAATGGACTCGGAAACACAGTAACATCTTCTGTGGGTCTATGAATGCCCTAGAAACTACAATGTTGTGCATTTATGTACATGTGTATTTTCAATAAGAAAAGTGTCCTTGACTGTTAGCTTTGCAGAAATATTTTGCAAAAAGATTCCCAGTCTCTGCCTATGGCTAAAACAGAAATTTCCTAATGAACAATTTAATCCTGAGTTGGAATCAACTTTTCCCCAATTAGCACTCCCAAATGTGCTAATACAAAATGCTATCTTCCCAGTAGTTTTTTTTCAACAACGTTATTGACAAGTAATTTACATATCATATAATTCCATAGTTCAATTATTTAATCACATCAAGGAAAATTGTACAATCGCCCACACTTCAGTTTTAGAGCACACATACACACATTAAAACCGCCTTTAAGATACGTTATGCAATCACAATCCGCTCCAGCGCTCCCTCCCATCTTCATTAGTTACTCCTGAAATCCCTTTTCCCTCCCTATCTCCCCTCCCCACCCCCCACACCT